AGGGTCCCCACAGGAAGCGAGGTGAAGCTATATGCCACCTCTCTACCCTCCGGGGCAGCTCCAGGGCGGCCACCTTACCTTCCCCAGGATGGGGACTCCCATGGGTCCCCTCAGGAGCAGAGCGGGAAGCCCCCGCCCTGATGAGAAAGCAGAATAGCCAGAGAGGGAAGCCAAAAGGTTTGGCAACAGAGGGAAACACAGAAGTGAAACACAACACCAGAACAGGAAGGGGACAGGGCAGCTGTCCAGGTGCAGAGGTCAGGAAGAGAGTTTCCAGGTGGTGGTGCTGCAGGCAGGTGGGGGAAAAGAACGCGTCTCACTGCAGACACACCACACCTAACGGGGCGAGAACAGAGCGAGGCAGGGGAGCTGGCCCACGCCCACTTTGTGGGCCAGCCAGCAACCCAGGGGCACAAGGAGCAGAGGGCAGTCACCAGAACTCCAGGGCACTGTGTGGAACAAGAATCAGGGCAGCTCAGGGAACGGCTATTCTTCTGCAAACGGCTGCAAATGGGGGAACAAAGTAACATAACAAGGAAACTAACATTTACTGGGCACCTAACATGCCAGGCACTGTACTTTTATTTATGTATGTAAACATATTTAAATCCTACTTGCCCTTCAAAACAAGGTAGATGTTATTGGTTCCACTTAACAGATGAGGAAACAGAAGCTCAATGTACTACATACCCTAACCACCAATCAGTGCCACATCTGGGATTTGCACTTCCACCTATCCAACTCCAAACCCAAGTTCTTTGCCCTGTCAGAAATGTCTGTCCAGGAATGGGAAAGGCCTCCTCTGAGCTGCCCCTCAGCCATGCCTGAGGCCGTAACGGCATAGAGGCGACACGTCCTCCTTTCACCCCAACCTGCCTATGCAGCTAGATTTTGATGCGCCCAGGACGGGACATGGCCAAGGGGACCCAGGCTGCTCCACTGACTCAGGTCAGCAACTAAGCTTGCCCAAAGTCTGCCTGCCATATCTGCCACAGTCCTGCAGAGACCAGAACACTGGGGGAGAACCACGTTCTCGATACTGCCAAGGGCTCAGTGATGTTCACAAGGAGACCCTCACTTCTGGAGGAACGAATTCACTTATGTGGCAAGCTTGCCAACTTCTGCTCCGTGTAACAGCACTCAACACATCTCGCAATTTCTCTTGACAGGCCTGCTTCCCCAGCAGACTGAACTCCCTCAGGCCCGGACTTGTACTCCCAGCACCTAGAGGATGACTCTGCCTCCGCACAACTGTCGGTCCGACCGAAATCTCTCCCCTTCTCCCTATGCACGTCCTCACCACTCAGTCTTGGCGCAGAAGCCCGCTCCTGTACGAGGCCTGCTCCGGATGCCTGGCCCCGGTGAGAGCAACCCACCACTCGTTTCCATACCCACATATGCCGACCCTCTTAACACTCACGATATCTGTAGGTGCCTGTTTAACATCTGTCTCTCCCACTAGAACTGAAACTCCACAGGGACAGAGGTCTGTCCTGGCTGTTGCTATAGCCATCTCTGGCCCAGGGTGTAACCCTGGGCACAAGAAAACTACCCAAACACCTGCTGAATGAACAGCTCAGGGTGGGTTGACCGAGTCACTCCATTTAAAATCTTACACTAAAAATAATCACTTTAAGGCAATCAACACTTAAAATTAGAAATCTAGTTACCTAATCCAAGTGATCCAATTTTATCATTGACCAATTTCAGATCTTTCAAAACTGTGTTTGTTCTTTTACCTGTAAATAGAAAAAAATATTACCATTAAAGTGACTTTTAGAATACGATACTCTCTAACCCATCAATTCCCCCCCATGGGGCTTCTTTATGACAGGGGCATAATAACCTCAAACTAAGAAAAAATTACAAACTGTGATTAATGGATGCTCCAATTATTCATTACATTTCTTTTTTCACCATGGACACTACTCCTTATTGGAACACAGCCACTGAAGACAATTTTTGGTCCAGCTACAAGACATCGCCTTCCATAAGCAGTACCATTAAGTATGAACTCCTGGACTACAGTTAATTATTTTTATCAATTTATTTTTTCTTTGAACTTCTAAATTTTGCTTCAATTCAACTGCTATTTCTCATTAACGAAAGTAATCTCCTCACTGGTTTCTTTAGCTCTCTCAACGTCCTCTAAATGAACACTCCCCCACAAGTGTCAGAGGGGCACGACCACATTCAGATTCCTTTCCTGCAGGCGGCAGTGACCACGGAGAGCAGGAGGTGAGAAAGGGTGTGGGCCGCATCAATGGACACATGGCCGGCTAACCAGATGTCTAAGAGAATCAACAAACCATGTCTTCTGTGTGTTCTAGGATGTCCCACAGTTTTATCGGGCAAGACAAAAAGGTTAGGAAGTACTGCAAAACTAGGCAAAACTCATAATACAAATTCCTAGTGAATCTACTTTAGGAAACTTTCTCAAAACAGCTATACTTACCCTCTGAACACTCTGCCGATTAAATCTTAGATTTACTATGACATAGCATACAAAGTTTATCTGTATATGGATGTGGTTAGGGCTATCATTTTATATTCCTTGGTACTGCTGTTGTGTGTGCGGAGGGCTGGGAAGGTAATTGGTGCAGAAGCTGGGCCATTCTGCATCTAGCTAGCAATCTTTTCACCTCTGCCACATGTAAAAAGATATGTCAGATTCCAATCGCTGAAGGTAGACTATGTTTTATTTAACATTTCTATGATAATTACTGTGATATCACAGAATAAATTTTTAAAAACTAATCAAACTTAAATTTGACTCAAGGCATCCTAAATGTCCAAGAAGAGATGATTTAAAATTATATCTATAGAAAATATAAATCGGCTAAAAAGTCAATTTCCTAAAAGTATTATATGGCATAGTTAAGAGGTAGAAAAAAGATACGACCGCATTAAAGAGAAATTTAAAAAATAATAAAATATTAACAAGAAATATGTGAGTGATAAAATTTGGGTCTATTTTTATGATTTTCCTAAAAAAATTAATCAGTTATCATACACTATGTAATTAAAGAAACAATACCCTGAGTATTCACACCTGCGCCCCTGGCACTTACTCTCGGAGTCTTTCAGTGAGGGGGCTCCCGCCAGGGAGCTGAGCCCGCTCTTGGAGGGGGGCGCGTCTGAGAGCGAGGCCAGGCTTCCCGCTTGCTTACGAGGTTCACTTCTCCTGGCGGGAAGCAAGTGACAGTTAAATGGTAATCTTGTATCCTGCCACTGAAGCAAAAGCAACTTAAAGATATTTTATGTACATACAGTGGCTAGAAATAAAGAATATACAGTATTTTTACAGATTCAAAATCAAAGTATATCTACAAGGCAGTGCAGACTACAGATCAACCACAAACCCTTGTAGCAAGCTTGTCAGTAAATCAGTTCACCTCTCTTTAGAATTCTGCTTGATATCTGATAAACTAAACTGACCCTTAACATCTTCCCTGTCTGGGAATTTTTTTAGAAGCTCTTTTATGACCAAGAAATGCAGCCACGGGACAGTACAGGAGCCTACTAGCAAACAAGTACTATCATTGAGATGTACGTATTCTTCAGAGGAGCCACGAACAGCCACGCTGATGGTCTCCTCTTGTAATCACGACCGCTAACCTCAAGGGGACCATAATACTGCCCAGCAATCCTATCCATTCCCGCAGTCCCTTCCCCTCCTTACTTTCTCATAGAACCCACACTTCTCCACTCTCCCCAAATCTCCAACCCTCCTCCCTCCATCCTCACTCAACTGCAGACTCAGGGGAGAACCTGCACAGGTGCGACCCTCAATGCCTGCAGGGGGGCCCACACTCCCCACTCTGCCAGTGAAGACAACCCCTGCATGGACTCCTCACTGGGCAGCCCTCCAGGAATTCTCTCATTCCCTTACATCTTTAACCCCTGTCTTTAAAACCGGACCATGCCCATCAGCACACACATGTGCTGGCACTTCTCCCACTTAAGCACGCGCCTCGGCCCCTCCAGCCACCACCCTGTGACAATACCACACAATCAGATTTATGGATTCAGTAATTATAGAACCATCAGTAGCTCAGTATAGAAAATATTAATAAAAGCATCTAGAAATTTTATCTTTAAATCTCTGGTCTGATAATCCAAACAGTTTACTCACCAACCGTAAGTTTTTTCTGGCTTGGGAATGGGATCGTCAAAGAAAGAATCTCCATCCAGATCATCTTCATCTGGACAAAGGTCTGCTTTATCTTTGACATCTAAAGTTTTGTTGCTTAGGAAAGATCCAATTTTTGTTTCATGGGCCAGTAAATGAAGATTACTTTTGCTCTTTGGTTCTGATGAAGAGATAGTAGTATCACTCTGACTGACCTCACAGCTGGCCTTCTAGAAAAAGACAGAGAGAGGGGGAGAAAAGGTCTCTTCAGTGAGATGAAACTTTGAGATATTTTAAATAAGTCATGTGACCACAAGTAAACCTGTGTGCGTGCGTGTGTGTGTGTGTGTGTGAGAGAGAGAGAGAGAGAGAGAGAGAGAGAGTGTTTCCCCTCCCAAGAGCAAGAACTGCGGAATAATCCCATGACGTATCCCTTTAGCCCCAGGCTCCCTAACATGGCTAACTTTCAAAGCGGAGAAAGGTTAAAGAATACGTTTATACCATTCCTTTCCTCTCACCCTAACTAGAAACATCTTATCTATACCTATCTCATTATAAACAATCTTTCCCATTTATAAACAATTTTCCTGTTTCCCCTTACATATGTGTCATTGCATAAGTTAATACATTTTCAACTTGCAAATAGGAGAAGGTATTACTATTAAAGGAGACAAGGAAGATGATTTCACATAAATGAACAAAGCATTAAAGTATATTCATCAGTAAAAACAGCAGTTTTCCATCCAGCGCCAAACACGACAGACATCAAGGAGGAAGGTGCTGCCTCTGACCCTCGCATGTCATCTGAACTCGGACATCCAGAGTGACTCCTACACTCACGGAAACGTCCACGGACAGGTACGTATACTTCTGGGTATCTTAAACCAATGTTAAAAAAGTTCTGAAGCATTCTCAACCACACCCTACTGATATATATCACTATACTGGCACAAAATTATTTTCTTGTTTTCAGTTAGTCCTAACCTTCATAGCCTAAATTTATTCTATCCTTGGTCAGATTTCCTTTTGCCCATAGACATGTCTATGTCAATAATAACAAAGAAAACAAAACCTAATGCTAGTAAGAATATAATAAAAATAGCTAACATTTATGGAGAGTATTCAAGTGCTTCAAATGTCATTTCATTTAATCTTCAAAATAATCCTATGGTATGGGGATAGGTTCTCTTGTCTCTGTGGTTATGAAAAAGGAAACAGAGACATTTATGTCACCTGCCAAGGTCCCCAGGTAGTTTAGTGATTGGGTCACTATCAGAGTCAAAGCCTGATTCCAGAGATTAACTCTTAACACTTATGTTATGCTATCAGGTTGAATTATATGAAATTGTGCTTTGTGTGGGTTAAAAACGGCAATTTCCCTAAATTTAGCCTTACACACCAAAGACGACAGTTCTGTGCAAGATACCTGTGGTGTGCAAGATACCTGTGGCGTGCAAGATACCTGTGGTGTGCAAGAAAAAGCAACTCACCTGAAACACGGAATCTGGAACGTAGTCCACACTCAGCTGTTAACTGCATAATCTTAAGTAAACTAATTTTCCTAGCCATGAGTTTCCTCAAAAATTGCACTAGGTTAGTATTTTCCAAATCAAATTGTAACTAGGAGTAAGAAAGAAAGGACGGATAGCTGGGAAAGAGTCACACAGCAGCAAGCACTGAAGCAGGGCAGCGAACAGGGTCAGACGTCACTGAACGAGCCACTCTCGAGGGACTGCTCCCCTCTAGCACGTGCAGACAGAACGCACTGGGCGTGTCTCACGACATGCCTTTACATTTTCACACCAATCACAGGCCTTAACTAGTTGACAGCTGGTAAGACATATGCCACATAAATTTTAGGGCCCTGAATAGAGATATACATTCCATGTTATTAATAGAGATAAATTAATGATTATATAAAGAGATATCTATAAAAATAGATATCATCCTTTTAGACATCATAGGATATTTTCAAAGAAAAGTGAGTGCCTTGGCGTCAGCCTAGCTCACAGCAACCTCAGACTCCTGGGCTCAAGCGATCCTCCTGCCTCAGCCTCCCAAGTAGCTGGGACTACAGGCGTGTGCCACCACGCTCGGCTAATTTTTTCTGTATGTATTACTTGGCCAATTAATTTCTTCCTATTTATAGCAGAGACGGGGTCTCGCTCTTGCTCAGGCTGGTTTCTAACTCCTGACCTCGAGCAATCCGCCCGCCTCGGCCTCCCAGAGTGCTAGGATTACAGGCGTCAGCCACCGCGCCCGGCCTTGTTATCTTTTTAAAGACATATGCATTTGGAAATAAATACCCTGAAGTCTTGTGTTATTTAAACAGATTTACAGTCAGAGATTTTCCCCTTGAAAACACTGAGAATGTTCTAAAAGATAACTGGCATAAAACAAACTGAAAAGGAAATGTTAAGCAACATTACAATAATTTTTCCAATAAAGTCATTCACAATTTAAGTCTACATAATGAACATCTAAGCTTAGTTACTAATATGTGTCTATGATTATTTTTTGACTAGTTTTGGCAATATTCCTGCATGGATGGAAGGACCAGTTTTAGAAAGACAAGTTTGATTGAAAAGGACATTATTATGTTATACAACACATATTCTTAAACATAACAGAATTACTTTAAAAGCAATCTGTTTTGAAATCATTCTCAAAATCAATTTCTTTCTTCTCTCTCTCTCTGTTTCTTTCTTTCTTAATTAAATAGTCTTGCTCTGCTGCCTAGACTAGAGTGCAATGGCATGATCATAGCTCCCAGCAACCTCAAACTCCTGGACTTAAGTGATCCTCTTGTCTCAGCCTCCTGAGTAGATGAGACTACAGGTGTGCGCCACACGCCAGCTAATTTTTTTCTATTTTTAGTAGAGACAGGATCTCATTCTCCCTCAGGCTCATCTTTTTTTTTTTTTTTTTTTTGAGACAGAGTCTCACTTTCTTGCCCAGGCTAGAGTGAGTGCCGTGGCATCAGCCTGGCTCACAGCAACCTCAATCTCCGGGGCTCAGCGATCCTACTGCCTCAGCCTCCCAAGTAGCTGGGACTACAGGCACGCGCCACCATGCCCGGCTAATTTTTTGTATATCTATTTTAGTTGGTCAATTAATTTATTTCTATTTTTGGTAGAGACGGGGTCTCGCTCAGGCTGGTTTCGATCTCCTGACCTTGAGCAATCCGCCCGCCTCGGCCTCCCAGAGTGCTGGGATTACAGGCATGAGCCACCACGCCCGGCTCTCAGGCTCATCTTAAACTTCTGACTTCAAGCAATTCTCCCACCTCGGCCTCCCAGAGTGCTGGGATTACAGGTGTGAGCCACTTCCCCCACCTCAAAATCAATGTCTAAACCACATAAGAACATGTCATTTCTTTGTAACTACATGGCTCATCTATTAAAAAAATCCACACTAAGAGGAGAAAGATCTGTCATTAAAACATTCTGCAGAGATTAAAACAAAAGTACTGTAAAACTTTAGAGCAATTTCAATGGAGGAAGTCCAGATGTGCATGTGTATACAGATGCTCCCCCAAAACAGGGTTACATCCTGATAAACCCATCATAAATTGAAAATATCTCAAGCTAAAAGTGAGCATTTTATAGACAAGACAGGATGCAAAAACACAACACCCAAAACATGCTGGCAGCACAGAGCACCGTAGAGTGTTAGCTGCTTGCACACGCGTGACCACGTGGCTGCCTGGGAGCTGCAGTCCCGTGCCGCTGCTCAGCACCAAGAGCGTTTCACACTCTAAAGTTCAAAGTGTGATCACTACTGACAACATTAAGTCGACCATCTTAAGTTGGGGACCGTCTGTACACGTGTGTATACCCTGGAATCTCTATTTAAAAACCTTCGTCATGGCTAAAGACATGCCTTTATGTTACATACGTAAACTTCAATTACTTGGGTTTTCTATCACCTGGATTTGGCTAAATTGAAGTTAAGATTCAGAATGAAGCCAAATAGCTATGGTTAATTATTATTTAAAATCAAGAAGAGTGACTTTAAAAACAAAAATCTTGCAGCCATGTCTCAGAATTCATTTCCTGAACAACCTTAGAAGTTGTTGTGAGTTGACTCGTGTCCCACAAGAGAGACACACTGAGCCCTAACTCCCCACACCCCAGAGTGCAACCTGACTTGGACACAGTGTCCCTGCAGACGTATTCGGTCGAGACGAGGCCATACAGTCGGTAGGGTGGGCCTTGGCTCTACCCCAACATGACTGGTGTCCCTGTAAGAAGGGGAGGACACACAGGGACCACCATGCAGATATGGAGGCAGACTGGAGTGACCGGTCTACAAACCAAAGGACACCTAGGACTGCCAGCAACCACCAGACGCCAAGCGAGAAACCTGCTGACACCTGGATTTCCACCTTCTAAAGCCTCCAGAGCTGTGAGACAATCCATTTCTGTTGTTTAAAGCCACTCAATTTGTGGTATTTCATTACAGCAGCCTAGGAAACTAATAATTTATAATAAATAACTAAAACTTAAGTTCTATCTTTTCGTAAAGGTGAGGGACCCATTGCACAGCACTACATTTATTAAATTCCCTGGGATGGAGCTCAAGCCTAATAATAAACTTTATGGTAAATTACAGTAAAGTTATAAGAAGGTTTTAGAATACATTTAATTTTCCAATAGTATACTTAAACAACCAAGAGTTCAATCAGTTCAGATAAATGGAAAATTAGAATTGAAGAAACATTTCACAGTGAAAAACACTACTAATTTTTCCGTAGTCAAAAACTGATTTATCACTAGAATGTCTTAAAAACCTGGAAAAAAGAATTTAGTTTTTCCAAACTGAAGGCTTACTCTATACTGTTCACAGCGAGGGAAACAAAGTCAAAGAAATACTCCAGTACTTGCAAAAGTATTCAAAAAACTCATGCAATACAACTGTCCCTCACTATCCAGGACCTTCACCAACAAAGCCCAGGATGCCCAAGGCCTTGAATACTCGCATATAATCTGCACATCCTCCTGTATACTTTCAATCATTTCTGGGGCACTCATAATACCAAACACAATTAAACGCCATGTAAATAGTTGTCACATGGGATCGTTTTTCAATCTGCATTATTTTTTATGTTTTATATATTTTTATTTTTGATCTATCTACAGTTCGCTGCATCAGTGGATGTGGAAGCTGCAGGTGAGCAGGGCCACCTGTGTCTGATTCTCTTCCCCACCCGCCTTTACCTTCTACCCCCTCCCCGGCCCTGCGGGGTGATTATGACTTACTAACAAACTATTGAGAGAAGTAATTTTACTATACTTGTAACAGACACATAAAGTTTAATCTGTTAACCTAGAAATGTAAATACTGTAGAATTCTGGAACCACAAAACAAACCTGTCTTTCTAAAAACTCAGTGTTTCTAAGAGAAACTCTATCCCTACCATCTGCAAACAGTCCGTGACTCCTACAGATACACAACAGAAGCATCATCTTCCAGCTCTGCCGGAAGACTCGGACACAGCCCTGTGCACAGCCGTCCCACCCTCAACGTCCTCAGCCCCTCCCTCCCCTCAGCAGCTGCCAGGGCTCAGCTGGCACGTGGGGCCGAGACATCAAGTCTGGAACTTCAAACGGCCAGAGTTAGAGAGCCGGCCGCGCAGCACCACAAGGGCTGAGTGCTGAGAACGTTCACTTATTCACACACCCATTCGCTCTGGACGGAGGGGAGGTGTGAGTGAGTTAAGAGAATAACAACCTTGGTTTATTTGGAAAATCCTGAGGTGACTGCAAATGACACAGAAACATATACCCCGAAACATACACAAAACTTGAGTACCATCACTGCCCTAAATCAACAACAAAGCTGGGCTTATCCTAGAATTTTTAAAACAAGAAATAATGAATTAAGAAAAGTCCTATTTTTAAGAATTTGAAGCAAAAAGAACCCCAATACAGATTAGTTTTAAAACACCTGAAAACTGATTATAAAAATAAAGGATATAACCTTTCATATTACATTTACTGTTATAAGAAACACCTAATTCCAAATATTAAAACAATCTAGCATCTTTCTCAATTTTTCCAAATAAATGGTAAAAATCTAAGTTAATAGAGTTTACCAGAAGTCTACTGCAATTTTTGATATGTATTATATTTTTTCAGACAGCAAAGTGGTATACAATGAAACAAATTATCACAGATGACACTCTGGAAGTAAGCATTAACACATATTTCAAAACTTTTAGCTCATTAAAAAAATGCCCTCCAACTTAATATTTATCCTACCAGTATTCCAAATCTTTTATCTTTGTATTTATTTTATTTCATTTTATCTTTAATGTCTCTCAATAACAAAAACAAGAACTTTTAGTTTTACCCAAGATAAATTAGCTCTAAACCCTTACAAACCAGTTATGTGTGTGGTATATTATATATATATCAATAATTTTTAAAAGTTTATTTCTAACACGAATGTAGCTTCCCTGAAGAAACTACCCGGAGTCTCTGAAGGAGCCTTAACACTTGTCTCCCGCGCATTTGCAGGGAACAGCAAGACACATCCAGCACCATGGGCCCCTGCCCTGCACCTGCAGGGCAGACACAACTTCGAAAATGCCACGCACCTAGCACGTGAATGGCTCCCCTGGAGTCTGGCTGTGTACAACCTCAACTACTACATGCAACGTAGGATTAACATGTTAAAAACGTTAAGGAAGCTGGGAACCTACTGCATGCACACGACAAAGCAGAAAGGCAGAGGATGAAGAGCTAAGTAAGGGCTTCTCCGCATGAGGTGGGAACCGGCTGCTGAGGACAACGCAGCCCTCTTACAAAGGGCAATTCAGAAGCAAGATCAGGGAAGAAGAGGGAAAAAGGTTTCCAAGTGACGGAAGCAGCACCCTGGGCTCAGGAACACAACAGTGAAATGGGGGAAGAGGCCCAACTCACAAACTGACCCTGGGAAAAGGGCCGGTCCGGGTTCTTCAGTCCCCCTCGAGTCAGGAGGCACACGAGGCCGTGCCCAAAGCACAGTGGAGGCTGAAGTCTGAGCCCACC